AAATTACACACAGGGCCATTTCTCTGTGCTTATTTAGTTTTTTTTTCTTTTTTTTTTTTTTTTTTTTGCCTTTAGAGTAAGGAATATGCCATGGGTACCTCCTTGAAACAGGCACCTCCTATTATCCCTGACACCTAGTGCAACCTTGAGAACAGTAACTGTTCAGTGAACAAATGCAAAGCCTGACCATGCCCTGAATTCCATCAGCCTGCTAGCCCTGGTGTAGGTAACACAACTTCAAGATGTGGTCCCTAAATTTCCTGATTAATAGACCCTGGCTGCTACTTTTACCCATGCAGCGGCCGCCTGACCCAAACCAGGCCCCTTGCACTGCTCGCAGTCCCCCTCCTCTCTGTGGCCCCTGGGCCCGGGGGTTCAGCTCTCTATCTGTCAGCAGGAAAGACCTTCTTTTAATGCATGGAGGTTTAGAATCTGGGTCTTATAGTAGAAGAGCTGCAAATTACAGGATACAATTATTTCAATTCTAATGCTTGCACTTCTTTCTGTATTTGGGAGAAGTAGGGTGGGGGGGATGGGTTAATTTGAGTTCAAGGATTACCTCAAACTCATAAATCTCTGCTTTTCCCTCTTCTTTCAATTTTTTCCCTTACAAAGTCTCTACTATTGAATAAAACCTATCATACCAACACAACTTCTGGCACCCCACATCCCGCTCCTCCTAATCCATGTGCATTCATGTACACACGCACACTCACACACACACACACACACACACATATTTTATCAGAATGGCTTATACATGTCTGAATCACAACCAGGGGTATGATTTGAGTTCTTTCCTATTGTGTCAAAGAAATCAGGGAATGAGCTGGCTCAGGGTTTGGTAAACTTTTTCTGTAAAAATAAACATTTCAGGTTTTGTGGGTCACAGACCCTATCACAACTCAACTCTGCCACTGTGGTATGAAAGTGGCCCAAACTGATTTGTCAACAAGTGGATGTCACAGAGTTCCAACAAAACTGAAAATTGAATTTCATATAATCTTCACAATAAGAAAAGCTTTTGTTAAAACCCCAACATTTGAAAATATAAGAGTCATTCTTCACTCATGCACTATAGTCTGCCAACCTGAGCTAACTGATTGCTGACTTTTCTTCTAGACATTTTGTGTTATGCTTAGGGCACTCCAAGGTCAGGCAGGGGTAAGGGTGGTAATGAGCATACACCAACATCAGCCCCCGCTGTACCTACCTAAAGCTAAACTCTAATCTAGCCAGAACATCCTACTACAAAGGAAATAATTCAACTGGCTGATTGGATGAAAAAGTGAATTAAATACAAAATGAATGAATGAATGAATGAACAAACGAACAAACGAATAAAAATAAGTAGTTAAAAAAAGAGGGCTTGCCTGGGTACTAGGAACATCTGATCTGGATCCACCTCATAACTGTTCTTGCACTTTCATACATTTCCCTGACACTTTTCAAAAGCAAAGCCCCAATTTGCATCTCTAATTAGAAACATTTTATGACTTGAGAGGGGAGTGGAGACTGGTCTGCATGTAGCATTAGGACGCTAAAAACGATCAGAAAGGAGGCCTCAGGTCTGTGCTTGGAGAGGCATCTTCATATCCCCCCCAAAAGTGGGTTCAATCAAGCAAGCATATGCAAAAGATTCACAATTTTGTATTTCAAATAAGAAACATGCTAAGGAGAAAACAAGAAGCTTTGCAGTTGAAGAGAAGCAGAGAGAAACACACAATCGCTCTTAGTCTGTCATTTCCCCCACAGAGCAGTAAATAAGAGCTTTGATACATAAAAGCAGTTATCAAACAGTAACAAATTAGTTCTTCACCATCTGTGATCCATGAGAGGGGGTGACAGTTTTAGTGTAAGATTTTAAAATATGAAATCAACTATTTATGAACCGGGTTCAGAGCCTCCATGTCTACCCGGCCTCTTAAAGCAGAGCCACAAGAAAGCGCTGCGGTTTTCAACTAACAAAAGCCAGCAGTTGTGGCTCCTCTCTTTAAAATATGCTAATTACTGCCTGACATTTGTAAACAAGATGTTTCCTTCCATACTACAGCTCACTATGCTTTCATACTTGAGCATCACTTTAAAGAACCAGCTTCACACAAGAGTCTGGTGATTACAGAGCCTCCGGGCAAAGGAAGTCCACCCTCCCTTGCTACCTTGGTCTGGATCTTGTCCAGACACCTATCAGCTGGATTCTTTGCTACCCAAAGCCTTGCCCTTCGGCTCTCCTGAAACACAGCTGGGACCTCCCACCTTCAGCCTCAGTCTCATGCAAGGCACCCATCAGCTTTGCACAACGTCGTGTGTTGTTAAGCTGGGCCTGATTCCAGGCAGCCCCAGGAGCTTCAGACTGAGCAACCATCTCAAGTGCCTCATTCCCAGGGTCAGGGAGTCACTTCATCACCCATTGTCCCTACCACCTATCTGTATGTTGGCGGGAGAAATCAAAGGACGCCAGATGCTGGTTTTCATCCCGGCTTGGACCCCCAGTGCTGCCTCTGGTTCCTAATCTTACCATTCCCAAGGGGGTAAACGGGTCCATTCTGAGAGAGGGGCTTGCAAATCCTCAAAGTAGTCCATGATTCCGACTTTGGGAAGTAGGTATACAGTTCAGAAATGAAAGCAAATGGTTTTCCCGAAACATAGGAGAAAAACCCACCACTGGGATGTTAGATTTAACTTCTCCTCTTGGCCATATGGCGTTTTTCTTCCTCAATGAAGTACTGTAGATTTTCCATGTATACCCCTGCTTCTATGTTTTGTTCTCCTCTTTCTTCTCCTTTGTTTTATTTTTTTCCAAGTAGGAGGGAGAATGGAAATAAGTAAATAAACAACTTATTCTATTTGCAATTTACTATAATGTTATAGTAAAATAATGACTGGATTGCAATTAGAAAGAGAGATGTGTTCAAATCTCATCCTGGTGTCACAGCTTAGAATGTGAGGCAGGCAAATCACTTCCACATTCTCTCATCTATACAGTGGGAACAATTTCAAACAGATGAACTCAGGGAACATATATGAGGGTACTTCTTACATGTCTGGTTCAATGAGAGCCTACAATCATGCGGGCAGGTGACTCTACCTCTCTGAAGTTTGAGGGAGATCTTGTAAATGGGAACCCTGTGCAAACTGTAGAGTGCTATGTAAGCAAAAGTGAGCACTCCGGGCTCTGCCAATAATTCATGGTGGAAGCTTAACCGTATCATCAAGGGGCCCATATCTGACAAATGCTAAAGCCCCTTCCAGTTTCATCGACCAATGGGCCCAACTGCATAATGGTGGGGATATTTAAGATTCTTGAAAAGGCACTGTGACACCTAGACTTGAAGACTGGCAATGGCTCACACTTTGCCCACGGGATCAGCCAGGTTTTGACTGCACTACTCTTCCTGCCCAGCCTGGGCTTCACACAGGGACAATTACAAGAGCCCTGGTTTTCAGTAACTCTATCTGGAAACTGGCTACATGTTTATAAATCCAGCACAGAGTGTACTTAGATTCCTCAGCTCTAAAATTAAAGGGTATCTCTGTTATTTATTTACAGTATTTATTTTGTACTGCCATAATTCAAACCAAATCAAACTCCAACCCCAGAAACAATAGCCTGATGAATTTTTAAAAAAACTTTCCAAAATAAATCTATTTTTTTGGCTTGGGCTA